TATATATATATATATGTGTTGAACCGTGAAGGATCACAAAATGATGAGAACAACATAACAAAAAATGTGAATGTGAGTTAGTATTTTAGCGGATGTTTGGAAGGTCATAATTTTAGTGGAAATGAAGATACGGGGAAAAACAACAACTGTTTGAAAGCCAATTTTCATAAGCTTCAAAACAGTCTAGCATTTATTCCTTAACCGAAAAAATGGGGAGCTTTGAGAGCTGAAAGTGTCAGCTGACTCATAGTGATAACGATTTTTTAAATAAGTACTAAAACTCTTTTCCCATGCAATTAAATCTCCCTGCCCATTAGATCTNTGTGTTGAACCGTGAAGGATCACAAAATGATGAGAACAACATAACAAAAAATGTGAATGTGAGTTAGTATTTTAGCGGATGTTTGGAAGGTCATAATTTTAGTGGAAATGAAGATACGGGGAAAAACAACAACTGTTTGAAAGCTAATTTTCATAAGCTTCAAAACAGTCTAGCATTTATTTCTTAACCGAAAAAATGGGGAGCTTTGAGAGCTGAAAGTGTCAGCTGACTCAGAGTGATAACGATTTTTTAAATAAGTACTAAAACTCTTTTCCCATGCAATTAAATCTCCCTGCCCATTAGATCTCCCACTCCCCCATTTTTGAGTACATAATCTATGGGATTCACATCTTTTTTTTTAAATCAATTGGAACGATCGAGCTGAAATTGCGCCCAGAGCTACTCCTCAGTAAGGCTTATAATCTGCCGAAATTTCTGATAGTTTGAAAAGACTTTAGTTACCTTATTACTCAAATTTCTAAAAGTTGAGTACCGGGAAGAAGGCAATGGACGTGTGAACATACAGACATAGTCGTCAAACTTCATAGTTTTCCGTTTCAGAGCATTCTACATCATTTCCAAGTGAAACTGGAGCATCGAAAAATCGAACGATTGCAAAGCTTTCATTCGGAAGCAAAAAGTATTCTAAAATTAGAAAAAAAATTAGGAAATAAATGAAACGAAACTAATAAATTTCAAATGATCAAATTGAATATAATTGTAACAACGAAGAACGATCAGAAGAAATCGTGGATCATACTACTTTATTTCGCGACTACATTCCGTGCTCTATGGTCTATTAGTTGCAAGGTAATGTCGTATGACAAAAGACAGAATAAAAATGAACAATTGTAAAAATAAATATTCGACCCTGAAATTAGTCGTTCAATCCTCTATAAAAAAAAAATCAGGCCACAAAAAATATGCTGCGATCCGAAAATAGAAGAATAACTTTCCACTTTAAAAAGCACCCTCTCGAATACCCTTCAAGGAAAAAGGTTGGTTGCGGGACATCTTGTATATTAACTTATGTCTATCAAATTTATTCTATCAAAATTGCACGGTAAAGTTGCAGAGTCTTATAATGAAATGAAAAAAAGCAAATGGAATTTTGCAATAAAAATTCGATCGATTTTTTTAGAAAAGGGTGTGCCTTTCTTCGGAATTTCTTCGGACACTCCTCTCACTCGCCGCATCATCTGCAATCGGTGTAAGACCGCGTCTCTCTTCTGGTCTTAACCCAGCGGCGGCGCTCTGTGCATTTTAGCCGACCCCGCATGTAATACACAAAACTGAAGAATCTAAAGATTACAATGCTTCCATTCGAAAGCAAAGAAGAATATTTCTATTATATTGAGAAATAAACAAAAATCAATTTGATATTGCCAAGAAAAATTTTAATTCCACTTATAAAGGATATATTGACTAATGTAATCATTTAATTTTCAGTTATCCACAATTTAACAACTTTCCATCATTTGCCAACGTTGAAGCAAGAATGAGGGGCTGGAAGAATTCAATTCGCATGCCTGCTCCAGAAACGTTTTTGGCCTTCCAAGAGCTTACGGAAACCGAAGAGTGGGAAAGGATCCGAATCTATGATGAAGGCAGAATAAGTGTGAGATGTGTGACAGCTGCCAATGACCAATCTGCACTCGTCATTGGGGATACTGCCCTTCCTCAGTCAATTCCCAATTTCACCAGCCTGCATGTAATCAGTACCTCAGCCATACAACCAACGATTGAAGGCACTCGAAATGTCGTTGCATTTGTTGCGGAATGGAGAAACCATGCCTGTTTGTTCGCAGTGGGACTGGTAAATGACGTGTCCGAACAGCTGATCAACCAAATTTTAACCCACGTGAAGGAGCAATTCCTACCCAATCATCAATTGACGTCAATAACGACACCATTCGACTGGAAATGGAGAGACGGCGCGAGACATGTATTCGAGGGCATGACCCTTAAACTTACATTCGAGCAATATTGTCTCACTGTCCTCCACCATGCACGTCACATTGTTGACCTGGACAATCCCCTGCACGAGCAAGTGTTGTACAAGCTGATTTGCGTAGCTCTGGAGTTCCCTGGATCGATGATCGAGTGTTTCAACGCTCTCTGGGAATCTTTGAGCCACGAGTTGATTGCTGCATTCCTTCCTCTTCTCAGTTGGTACCTAAGTGTGCTATTGATTGGTATTGGACCTGAACAATTAAGTTTCGCCAACAATTTTATGGCATTTCACGTTCTGGAGACGAAGATTCGTGTAACTCTGACCCATCGTCTGCCTGAACATCCGTCTCCGTGGGAACTCTACGAAAAATGTTTAAAAACTCTGAGAGCCACATGGGCAGACTTGAGGACGATGCAACATGGAACGCCTCAGCAAGTATCAAACATAAGAAGAACCCCTAAATTGACTACCATTTTGGTAATGGGCCATTTGAAACGAGTGTGGAGACTTCGTGAACAGCAGACAATTGACAGTACGCGATTCCTCTGCCTCATGTCCCAGACGGTTAGGGAACATGTTAGTACTTGCGTATTTGGAATGCAATTCCTGCAAGCTGACCTCAATCCTGTCGCCCCAGATCAAGTGATCCTCGACGAGGGATACTTTCAGAGGGCCAACGTACAGCGAAATCCTGCAGAGCTCCTTCAAATAGTCGATCTCAATGTATTCTTTCCTCCAGCCAGACCAAGACCTGCACTCAGGGAATTACCTGCTGCACTTGAAAATGAGGAAAATGATGCTATGGAAGTCAGCGAGGACGAGGACGAGGAAGAGGAGATAATGAATCCTCCTTACAATTTCAAGTGTATAAATTGTGAGGAGAGACCTGTCGAAGTAATATGCAAACCTTGCCGATGCATTGTCCTTTGCAGGGTCTGTGAGCAAGCGATGAGGCTGAGGCCGGTCATCGAATGCCCACGGTGTCAGAGACGTGGAATAAACTTGGAACGCGTCTTTATTAGTATTCGCGAAAATGTACCAGAGGGTGAAGACCCCTACGACTGGCAATGCCACATTTGTGAATCGGGGGCATTTGTCTCAGTTATGGGACGAGCATGCAACCAAGTGGTTTGCTGTATTGAATGTGCCAGAAGGATTAGACTTGCCAGAGGACCCCGTCGAATGCATTGCCCCAACTGCAATATTCCAACACAACTGGATTCAGTGAACATTCGCCCTCGGCGCTAACTCGGTCATATTCGATTAATTTTAAAAAGTCAAAATCAAAAACTTTTCCAAAAACACTTTTTATTTCATATGTAAAACATGTTCCAAAAATAAAAATCATAAAAGAAAGCTGACTAAATTAAAATAATTAATAGTATTAAGGTCCGCATGTACTATCTATAGAACGTAAGCTTTGGTTTGAATTTTATCTTGTTATCTTGTTATCTTTATCGTCATAAAGTGAGTGAAAATGTTTCAAATTTGAGTTAACAGATTGAGAGATTGTTACAATTGCATTTTTTGGGCTTATGCTACGTTATCATTCTAAATTCAGTGGCAAAAGGATAAAGCGTCAAGAATAAATTCCAAATTTTTATTGATAGTTCATTCACTCCGGAAACAAATTATTTTATGGACTTGAATCAAGAAATTTTTTCCATCCCTGGCCATATTTTAAAGAAAAATGGATTTTCATTTTCAAATTTCCCTTCTACAAATTCATCATTAAAATGATTAAATATCGGCCAAGATGTAAAAAATTAATTTTTCTTACTCTGTTAGGATTTACCACTTCACTTCATATTACCAAGGTGGTAATATGAAAGTTTTGAGGATACTCGCGATAAACCTTCTGTTCTCCACTGTTATAACATGTCCAGCGTTAGGGACCTAGTATTTATAACCGCAAGACAGATAATTGTCGGGTCTACGTAATTGTTCAGGTGATTGGTACAATTTTGAATAGAACACAAAGATTGAAGCAAGAGTTGCATAATATCTGCCACCAATTTGTCCAGGCATCCCTTGTTGCTTCTTGTGTACACCTTTCGCAACCAAACCAATGCTCGCATGGCATAGATTTCACATTTAGGATAGAATTTTGACATCGAGGACACAAAGATTGTTGAAGATTTCCCACTGAAAACAAAATTAAGAATTAACCACTGACGCAGATTCAATCAAACAAGGTAAGATAGTGATAAACAAAAGTCGCTGGAATCATTTCAGTAACTAAGCGATAAACCGGGTAACGTTAACTTAGCTCCATGCATGGTTTCCGAAGAATGACTTCCAATCTGAGGGAAATAACAACATTTTCGTCGCAACCCTTTTGATAGCTTTTAATTTTGTATAAAAAAAATTTTAACGCAAATATTGCTACCTCTCTTAGATTCTGAGGCATTCACTGAAAATCGGGCAACAAACAGAATCGACTCAACCCGATTGGCTACTGATTCGAAATGGTAATGTCGTGCAGGACTCACAAATCAGGATCTCGATTGCTTGCTCTGGGGGCTCTCCCCTAACTATAGGGAATGGTCCGTCAGCGTGGCCTTCAATTGCAACATGTTCAATTCCATGATTTGGTGGAGCAACGTCTGAAACCATCAATACTGAATTATGATTATGAATATGTGAAGAAATATTGAATTTTCAGTGGGTACACCAACCTCTGTCGTGGATTGGAGCTGTGGTGAAGTATTCAACTTCCTCCCGAGTTATTATAAGGAAATCATTATTGAAAGAAGATGACAAATGGCTAGCGCAAGAGAGAAATCTTGGAATATCAAGCGAATTTCCATCATATAAATCCCATACATAATTCAGTAACGTCTCATGCCTGGTACGTGATTGTTCAATTGTACGTCTTACTGGAATTCCCATATTCAAGGAATTAACTTCGCGCATACTATTCATCTGAATGTCCCTCAACTCAGCTAAAATGCATATAATGGGATCAATTAATTCGCTCAACAAACAATTTTTTCATCACGATGTGCCGAAAAGTAACTTTTCAGGCACGCTCCGCTTCGCTTCACGTGCCTAAAAAGTGCCTTTCCCGCACATTGTGAAGAAAAATATTGTTCGCAACTCGTGCAGAAATTGATTTTTGGCTTGTGCTATTATACCACTCGCCTTCGGCTCGTCCTATAAACCTCCCACACGCCAAAAATCACTTTTCCGCACTTGTTACGAAATATACTATTTTTTAATCGTTATTTTGAATTGTTTCCACCCAGTTAGAGTATGCTGCGATGATGCGATGGTCAAGACTTTAAATACTTGAATCGCACCATTCTACCCGGTGGAGTTTTTAACTTTTAACCTTTCGCATGTGAGGCAACGAAATGACCCACTGCGCCAAGCTATCGGGATATAGAAACAATGATATATTTCATATGCACTTAAGGATTCGACATTTTTTATTATTTTTGAGACAATTGAACCGTACCCGTGAATTTCCAGATGCCAGGATGACTCTTGATACGTCTCTCTAAACACCTGTGATAGGCCTCCACATTATTATTGGTACGATATTTCTGACGGTACACAGAGAATTTAGCAGGTGTAACCTGTCTTATCCACCATTCCTCATAGTATTCAATAAGAAAGGCGAAAAATGCACGAATATCGGGTGCGGTATTAGTTACCAACCACCTGAAGCCATCAATGATATGTTCCGCTGGAAGCAATGCAAGCGCAGAGAGCTTTCTAAAAAAAAATTTCGCCAATTCCCAATCTCTCAGTCGTGTCATGAAGGCTCTTCCCCGCCTCTTCATACGACTCACAAGAGCCTGCGTGGAAAGTGATAATTATATTATGAGTAATTATTCCATCATCATAGATTTCTTGTCATTTAGGGAAGGTTGGGACAATGTGGACACCTGGGGTAAAATGAATACCTATCAAATCCATATATGAGTAAGGTATAATGGACATGGGAAATCTTTTCGATATTTGAATATTTTAAAGGAAATTAAAGGCAAAATGAATACCTTAAATAACATGAGCAGTGAGAAAATTGTCGGACAATGACAATTTTTCACGTTCAAAATTCTGAAAACGGTTCTTGAACAAAATGGGGAAATGGATACACATAATTTTCCAGCATCCAATAAATTTGTATCTAAGCGGGGTAAAGTTGACTCTTGAGTTATAATTGGAACACAGACAATGGAAAAAGAAATGGAAGTGTCTATTTTACCCCATTTTTGCCTTATCTTGCAACTCTTACAACGGAGTCTTATGACAATTTATTTGTGTTCATACTCTCCAAATGAGGCCACGATAGTAAATTTTATGCAATTAAATTCATTATTTAAAACATACTGACAGTAATGCTTGGGCGAGGAGGGTGTTGCTCCTGCGGACATCCAAGCTAAGCAGCGTTTCGCTGGGTTAGGACTTGGATGGGTGACCGCTTAGGATGCAGTACAGCTGGAGAAAAAGTCGGTCCCATGCCACCGCAAGAGAAGGGAACAAAACGTAAAGGCCCGAAAGGGTATACGTAAAGAATTGAAAATAAATCATTATTTAAAACTGGTGTCCACGTTGCCCCATCCTCCCCTATATCTGAATATTATTCAATAAAAAAAACATCTCACATGAACCAAGTGAAAGTAGCAATACACTCCACGGATATCACGATAGACATGTCTAATGGCATTCGATGAAGCTAACTCATAATCCAGGGAAACATTTGTCGGTTGAATGAGTGGCGCCAATTGTAACTTAAAATATTGAAAAACAGCTACGTAGGCCTGCTCAGTTTTCCTCGTCATCAACGCCCAAGTAATGGGCACGCACTAAAATATAAGAGATAGAATGTTAAATAGGAAGCGTGCAGTATGCGTTAGTGTATACGTACGAACTTCACTATTCCCTCTGCACTATTAGAAAATGACTCTTGAAATCCAAATATTGGATTTATATGACAGTGATAATAATTGAAAATAGCTTAAATTCAAGCAACTATCTTTCTGACTTGTCAATCTATCGAAAAATTGCATTAAACTTTATTTAATTGGAATATAAAATAACGATCAAAAATGATAACCAGACAATTTCCTATACTTACAGAGTCATCGATCCGTCCCATAATAGTCAAAAATTGATAAATATCCGCTGCACGAGGACAAACTTCAAAAGTGGCATCTATAAGAAGTTCTCGAATATTAGAAATAGATGCAAGGAATTCTGTGTCACCAAATACAGTGACTGAAGTATCGACAGCGACATTGATGGTATGCACTGTCAAGCCGCCACCGGCATATTGTCGATATTTACTCCACTGCGGGAGGTTAATTATCTCATCATACTCCTGTAATGTCCTGGGTACGGGTGGACGATGCTGTTGACGCCATCGCCGCATTGATCTCTCAATCGAAGCCCAAGTGACTATACATGCAGCGTTTTCATAGCTAGAGCAAGCACGTTATCATGAATAGCCGTGATAAGACAGTTCAAACATCTTTATTAATTATTCATTCATCTTGCCAAGTAGTAGTAGTTTTATATTAACCCACTAAGCGGTGTTAAACCTTCGAGAAGAGTTAATACCTTCTCTTTATAAGTGAAAAAATAGTCATCACCGTCCAGCTTGTGAAATTTTTAATTAAATGTCATTCATAATTCGAGTCAACGATAACACGGTTCCAGAAAATACGGGTTCAGTCGCTGTCAAGGATGGGATCGACTTTATTAGCCCCTTCGGAACTATCGAATGTCCCTTCGATTCATACACGATTCAATCCAAAATCTATGAAAAGTAAAACTTTCGATGAGGGTTTCATGTGAGTCCGGAGAATCATTTTATTGCCTATTAGATTTCGCCCCAATTCCATCTTCAATTCTTAAAAATATCACTTTTTGAGACACAACTTATAACAAAAATGTATTTGTTCGTGAAATATTTCGATGACTAACATCAATTTCGAGTCATTTTCAATGGATTGTCCACTTTAAGTATCAATTAGTCAGAAATTATTGCAAAAGGCTGACTTGAATTGATGTGAAAATAATCAGAATTTTATCGATAATTTTAGGTAAAAATTACTGGTCTTTCAAATTAAAAAACTAGTATTGCAAATTAAAACATTGAAAACTCATTAACATTGGATATCTCTCTATATAATCATGAGACAAAAAAAATATATATTCACATTTTTTAATTCGTACAATCTTAACGTGATATTTTATCACGTAACTTATGTAACATACCCGCTGAATTACAATATAACTTTGTCAATCTCTATCATGGACATGAATAATTACGTTGAAAAAAAAACATCACGTTTTGTAGAATAAAAAGTCTTCGCGTGAGAATATTTATTTCATTTTTTTAACTACTGATTCATTATATATCCGATGTTTATGTTGCCAAAAATTATTAACGTAGAATATTCCTGGGAGCGATAATTACATTATTACTTTATATTATTATTACATTATTTATCGTCTGTACAATATTTATTTAGCCTTTTCTTACCCAGCTTTGAGCCAATGAAAACCATTGCATGCAAAGATCACACTGAAAAAAATCACATTAAAAAAATTCCAGTTCCAATTGCACGAAAACATTTTCAGATATTCCTCTTAAATGACGTTTTCTGATCTACAGAAATGGGGATATTAACGTTTTTTTTGGTTTCTATTTTAGAGATGATAGAATATCGAGGAACTACGAGAATGCAGAACAAATTGCTATTGGTAAACAAATGTCTCTGTTATTAGTACGTGGGAGTTGTATAGATATGTTCCATTAAATCTGATCAAATCTTCGTGCTTCTATCAAGTTATCGGGTATGAACTAAAGAATATTCGTTCGTGTATACAATTTTATTCTGGATGTATTCTATAACAACATAACAACTCGAGTGGCAATACTTCACAATGTGTATTTAATGTCAATGATTTCACGTTAGAAAGATTAATTGTTTATAATAAAAGAAAATTACAAATTGACAATAGAAATAGTAATTTATTTTATAATTTGGTGAGATACATTTGGCTAGCGATTGTCATTTACTCGTAGTCGTGGATTTATGGTTATCTCTATTTTTCATTCGAACTTACGTTTGGAATTTCTCCTGTTATTTTCATTTTTATGTTGGTAATTTATGCCCAACCAATGTTTTGGTTTTTGGTGATTGTCATAACCCTGTTGATTGTTGTGGGCGGTACCAATGGATTTTTATGTATTATCATATATATCATTAATAAACGAGAAGCTTTTACTAGATAATTGAGTAATTTACCAATCAATTCAGTTGCAATTAAAGGTGATCGTAAAATCGATAATATATCAAGTTACTCGCGTGACAATTAAATAATAAATAAACATGAATACACACAGGAATATTCTAAGTTAATAGTTTTTTGTAACATAAACATCAGATATATAATGAATCAGTAGTTAAAAAAATAAAATAAAAATGATCACGAGAAGACTTATTATTCTATAAAATGTAATGGTTTTTTTTTTCAATTTCATTATTCATGTCCATGATAGAGATTGACAAAGTTATATTGTAATTCAGCAGATATGTTACGTGAGGATGAACCCGGGAAAAAAGGGTAAAATATCATGTTAAGATTGTACGAATTAAAAAATGTGAATTTTTTTTTTCTATGTCTCATGATTCTATAGAGGGATATCCGATATTAATGATTTTTCAATGGTTTAATTTCCAATACTAGTTTTGTAATTTGAAAGACAAAAAAAGTAAGAATCATTACGATTGAATTCATTCATGACCGATATATTGCATTTTTCTTTTTCGATATTCCACCCTTTCCCTGCCATATATCCGGTATTGAATATTCCGCGTTTTCCAAATCAACAAACTTCCGGGTCATGATTCAAAACAAATTATTTTTTTAAAAATAATTACTATTTAAAAAAAAACATTTTGCTGGATAAATCCCGTAAAACTGTATCAAATATAGTAAGTGACATCTCAATTTGGTGGTTTTTTCGTGCTCCTCAAGCGGGTTGAAAAGAAATTTCTTAGCTCTAAAAGGGCTTTGGATATTAATAATAATGTGTAAAAAACAANGCAAAAGTTTACTAGGAACATAGGACAATTCTTCCACTGTGATGAAACTTCGTGAAACATTGAATAATAATAAAAATTTGAAACGATATATTTTTTCACGTCGATTTTCTGAACCATTTCTCAGAAATTTCTAAAAAAAATTGAAAAATGAGAAGATATCGGCAGTAATCTCTTAAGGGCAGAATAATAGTCATAACAATTTCTTTTACCAACAAAAGGGTAGGATAGGGTGATTGTCTGTTGCATATGTATAGGGGAGAGTCTGGGCAGAATGAAACAGTAGGGCAAAATTAAACACCCGTGAATTTTGTTACCAGATATTACCGCAGTATTTTTAGGCATTTTGTTGGTAAAAGAAATTGTTATGACTATTATTCTACAGACAAATTTCATAAGACAAATTTCATAATTGGAAACTTCTTAATCTATAATGTTATTTGTATCAAAGTATAAGTGGTACTTAAATATCCTTCGTTCAGGTAAAATCATCATCAATGAGTGCAAATATTACATTTGTGAGAAAAATATTTCGCTGAATTTTTTATTACTGCAGATTTATTATAAAAAAATATAAAATTACAAAGTATTAACGATATTAGCCAATATTAAGAACTACAACATCGGGTATTGTAATGGTGTGAGGACAGACAAATTTGGAGAATGAAATAAGTGGTCGTTGGCGGCATACGAACGCTCCAGTCGGAGTGTAGAGATTGGCAATTTTTTTCACTCTTTTGGAAATTACCGTAATTAAAATTAAAATTTTGAAAAAAATGCACAACGCCCACCTAGAACTTTTCTGTAGAAAGAACGCTCGTTTTCGTTTTTTTTCAGAAGCACTACCAGTTTTCCCGGTATCCATTGGTAAAGTATTTGGAAAATATGTTTTAACCTTTGAAACATCAAGTCAAAGCACAATTGAATCGATCCATTTTTCGCGAAGTTATAGAACTTTTAAGTGATTTTTTATTCGTTTTAAAGCTAAATTCAGCGTCATAACAAATGGCATACTAGACAGAGAGAGCGAGAGAGCAAAAGAGAAACCGGTTTCATTTGTTTGTTGAAGACTAATCAAATGAAATCGAAAAAAATGCCAAAAACTTCAAGACTTTATCCGTCTGAGACAATGTTCTAGACCTGATTTAACAACAGCATTTTGAGAAAAATTAACAAAAATGGCATTCCATCTAAAAATACAATAGAATTTCCTATAATAAATGCGCTTGAATTTCCTCATACACGATATTATATATTTAATAATTTTGTCATTATGCAAATGTGTGAACTAACCTCCTTGTCCCACAACTCGATTTACTGTGAAATCGATAGCCATTATGATTTACCGTCGACGCGTGCCTCCTTGCGAGCCTCTCCATTTTAAAATCTACTCCTCCTTTATTAATCTTGACAGATCGCAACTACACCACAATTAGTTAGTTAAGGTTTCTGGCTCCGGCTGTTTCGGACTGAT